TCATAAGATACATTTCTTCCTTTCCAAACCTTCTTAGGAACATCACCATCCAAAAGAATCGAAGGAGAAAGATTTATCAAGTCAACTGCTGTTCTCATTGCCTCCCCCCAAAAGGACTTAGGCAGCTTTRCATGAGAGAGCATACATCTAATTCTGTCATTAATAGTACGGTTCATTCTCTCTGCAACACCGTTGTGTTGAAGTGTTTTTGGCACTGTCTTTTCAAACTTGATCCCATGAGTTCTGCAATACTCTGTAAACGGCCCTCTGTATTCACTACTTTTATCTGCACGAACACAATTCAACTTCCTTCCAGTTTCCTTCTCATCTGCAACATGAAAATACTTGAAAACATCTAAAGCTTGATCTTTAGTTTTCAAACAATAAGCCCAGACCTTTTTGGAATGATCATCAATAAAAGGTAATATAATAGTGAGCACCACCAAGACTCAAAGAGTCCATAGAGCAAACATCAGTATGGACCAAATCTAGAACATTTGCTCTTCTAGAAGGAGAGAAATTTTTAAATGTGACTTTGTGTTGTTTACCTACCAAGCACTGAGAGCATGACTTCAAGTCAGAAAAATTCAAACCTGGAACATTATGCTTCTTTGAAAGAATCCGCAAACCATTATGACTCAAGTGACCCAACCGTGTATGCCAAAGTTCAATGGAAGAGTCTTCAACTGCATTTACCTCTCCCCCACAAGATTTAGCCTCTGTCACATAGAGAGAACTGTACTTGTTTCCCCGAGCTACCACCAAGGACCCTTTAGTGAGCTTCCATTTTCCTTCACCAAAGTAGTTATGATAGCCATCATCATCAAGCATCCTAGTGGAAATCAAATTAAGGCGAATCTCAGGAACATGTCTCACATTCTTCAAGAGCAATTTGCAAGCAGTATTTGTGTTTAGGCATACATCTCCTATACTGACAATTTTGCACTCTCCATCATTCCCCATCTTTACATGACCAAACTGACCACTAGAATATGAAGAGAAAACATCATGATGAGAAGTGACATGATACGAAGCACCGGAGTCAACAACCCATTGCGAATCCTAACATGTGAGATTGACATTGCCACCATCGCATATAATACAAACATCATCACTAACTGCAACTGCTACAGTATTGGCTTCTTCTTTCTTTTCTTCGCCCTTTTCTTTGCTTTGTTCCCTCTTAAGTACTCTACATTGGAACTTCTTGTGTCCTGGCCTTCCACAGTGATAAAACTTAATCTCTTTCCTTGACTTGGATCTTCCTCGAGACTTGTCATTTCTATCTTGATTCTTTAGAGTTCTACTTTTGCTTCTCCCTTGCCTTTCAGTAACCAGAACTTGACTCTGCGTTGTTAACCCTTGGTCTTTCCTTCAGTTCTCCTCATTCAGCATGCTCTCCTTCACCATTTTCAAAGTGGGTACACCATTTGGAGAAGACTTTACAAGAGAAACCATAAGAGTATCCCAACTGTCAGGCAAAGAGCTAATCAAACACATAGCATGAATCTCTTCATCTAACTTTACTTCCATAGCAGCCAACTGGTTCAATATACCTTGAAAGACATTCAAGTGCTCAGAAATAGAAGTTCCATCCTGATATCTCAAACACATAAGCTTCTTGAAAAGAAAAACTTTATTATGATAATTTCTTTTCTCATATAACTCCTACAGAATAGTCCACACCTTATGGGCGTTAATCTCATTGGCAACATGCTGATACACAATATTATCCACCCATTGCCTGATCATTCCAACTGCCATTCTGTTTAGTTTTTCCTAGTCTTTACCAGACATACCCTCTGGCTTGCCTTCATCACCTAATGTGGTGTCTTCATAGTCATAACAACAGAGCAAACCCATCATTCTAGACTTCCATATTGAATAGTTTGAATCAGTGAGCCTAATCATAGTGTCACTGTTATTACTGGTCGAGTCCTCCATTTAATTAGCACAAGAAATTCCTCAAAAGAACCTACCTCTAATACCACTTGTTGGGAAAAAGCCTGCTATCTCACAATAACCAAATAACAAAATATACATCTGAATTGAAGCAAAATAATTCTCTTTCCCTCTTTGTGCAATTAAATGAGCATGCAAGCCAAACAATATCAACCAAATAGAAAATATATGCAATAACAAAACACAATCCRCAAATAAAGACACAAGATTTTAACGTGGAAAACCCTCCAAAACGAAGGGAAAAACCACGGGCAACTAGCCACTCAAAAACTTCCACTAATAAATTAATGGGATATAACAAAGTTCTTCTCTAGCATTAAATCTAGAGGCTATCAGCATCAACTACTCACCCAAAGGTGGATTTCATTATATATCACCAAATAGCTCAAAGACAAAAATAAATCTCTCCAAAATGATAATAGAGAAGAGGAATAACAAATTAAACCAGTAGATGTGTAGGTTGAGATGCCATCAACTGCATACTAAAATCTCAAGGTGATCGCAGAAAGGGATGCCACGCAAGTTCTGTGTTCTTAGCCCATGAAAGCCCACAAAAACTCTCTTCTCCTTTCCTCTCTCTCTCTCTCTCTCTCTCTCTCTCTCTATTTTTCTCTCTGTACTATGTTCTGTTTTCAGTGGAAGACTTCATCGAACCGTTCCCACTCCCCTCAACTTGCCAAGCAAGTTTTTTTATTTGCTCATAACTGTCTTTGCTAATGCGAAGACAGTTATGAACCTCTTCGACTTCTGCCTTTTTTTTATATATATAGTGGGCCCTCCACGTGGGAAGGGAGCCCAACCAACAGTTACTTGGGAAGCTCGAGCATGATGAGTCCCATGGGACTCTTTCCACATAGCCCATGTCCATGGGGCATGTAGAGGTGTTGCTGGCGGTTGAGACTACATTGTAATTAGCTGCAGAGGACAGAAGCACCATTGTTAGAAGCAACAGTTCAAACCCCATCTCTCTCTCTCTCTCTGTAATTTCTGTGAACACCTGATTTTTGTGAACGCCGTTGCCATTGCCATTGTCGTTGTTGCTGCCGGTATCGGCACTGGTCACGGTGGAAATGAAACAAACCTGCTCCATTGAAGAGGAAGAAGAGGGCAAATTTGACATTTCGTTTCCTTCCGTTAGCACTTAACGACAATGACAATTGTTAGAAAATTTAAGGGTACCACAAGACAATAGCTAAATAGTAGGGGTACCACGTGTCATTACGCTAAACAATAGGGGTAGTTTAAGAGATTTACCCTTATTATTATGGACAAATGTCTTTTTAAAAATGATAATTAACACCGTAGGGTACTTGTAAGTACGAAAAGAATTCATTTGTTAGGAAAAAAGCATTTGATTCATATAAGTATTTTCTCATTCTACCAATATTTACTTTCTTGTCCATATTAAAATTTGGGTAAATTAAAGATATGTACCTTGTACTTTGGGGGTAGTGACAGATAGGTACCCTAAACATTCAATTGCAACACCGGAGTACCTTGAACTCTCAAAAATAGACACTTGGGTCCATCCGTTAGTATTCCGTCAATTAAACATTGCATAATGCCAACAATACCCTTCTCGTATATTATTGAGATCATTCGATGGAATAAAATCATCATCAGAGAATGCCGTTGTTAGAAAATTTGAATATATTATTTGCTATCCATGTGGGAAAATCATCATAGGGAGTAATGTTAATGGATATTTTTGAATAAAATAATGTATTTCTCATGTGTTTTTGAAATCATGTATTTTTGAGTAAAATTATGTTTACGTTATATAATGCCAAAAATATCCTTATCATGCATTTTTGAAATCATCACTAGAGAATGCCGTCGTCAATATGTATTTCAAAAATACATGATAAGGGTATTTTTGGCATTATGTAATATTAACGGATGAACCTATGTGTCTATTTTTAAAAGTGTAGAATACTCAAGTGTTGCAATTAAAAGTTCAAGGTACCTATCTATCACTACCCCCAAAGTTCAGAGTATTTATGTATAATTTACCCTTAGGCTATGTTTGGTTTGAAGGAAAATGTAGGGAAAGAAAGGGAAAGATAAGAAACCCTTATATTGGTTTTCCTGTCTTTTCCTTCCTTTCCCTAACTTTTTCTTCAAACCAAATATAGTCTTAAAATTTCATTTTGGATAAGAATGAAAGTTGAATCAGACATGTATAATTGATCCTTAAAATTTCATTTGGATAAAAATAAGAACTGAACCAAACATGTACCATACTTATCACCTTTTATCCCCCTCATAAATTCTGCTTCTTGGAGCCTCGCTGTATTTTCGGCGAAAAAATTCGGCTCCTTCAGTTTGAATCCATGGATTTCCTCAAACATCTATTCCCGACGTGACACAGATCCACGGTGTAAACACTGTCCATCCAATAGGTGGACCACCATAAGATATCATGAAATGTCTGTCCATCATGGATTCCTTGTCGCTGAAAATCTACATGGTTTAGTGAAGGAGCATGAAACTTCCATGTTCCCTGAAAAGCACATTGAATTTACCCTCTTTGGCCAGAAATGCCGCCAAATTTAGTCGAACGTTGTTAGCTAGTACTCGTTCGAACGGTAGAATTGGTGCCATGGTGGAGCTTCCTGCTTCCGAGTTCCATTCTAAATTTAGCAGCAACGGAAAATCCTAACGTACGCACGAATACCATCAGTGCACGTTAGAATTGTTAAGAAGAGGCCGCAGGGAGAGGGTGGTGTCAGAGAGAAACTATGGTTTCCGTTTCCGCTTTTCCTCCCTCTCTCGCCGAGAACGGGAGACAATTTTTCCTCAGAAACTTCTTTCTCTTCAATTGAATATTTTCATTCTTTTTCTTTTTTTTTTCCTTTCTGATTTGCATTTTTTATTTAGAAGATTGATTTCGTTGAATTTACAGCATTACTTGATCATGTTATTCCAATTTCGACTTGAACTTTAAAATATTTTCTGATCCATGAAATTTTCTTTTCATCTTTCTCGAATCATTCTTAGAAGCCTAACAGTTACACATGCATAGCAGAAGAATGAGGATGGATATCGGGGAGATGATCCGGTCTCCGAAAGATATTACTAGGTTATTACGTCCTATGAGGTATGAAAGAATTGGCAACTCTCTGGAATCCGACGAGAGTTTGGGGGAGTCAGTGCTGCGCAGATATCAGAGCGATTCCCCGACGGTTCCAAGAGGTTTTCTGGCGGTTTATGTGGGCCCGGAGAATCGGAGGTTTGTGATTCCGGCGAGTTATCTGTCTATGCCTGATTTTAGGGTTCTGATGGAGAAAGTCGCCGAGGAATTTGGGTTTGAACAACAAGGCGCACTTAAAATTCCCTGCGAAGAAGAGGATTTTGAGAAGATTCTGCTCAGGTGCTTCGAGAGGCAAGAAAAGATGAAGAACAAGAAGTAAACGAGGTAGTGATCTACGGATTTGATGTAAGATAATTCAGATGTCATGTAACTGTTCCCAATGAAAGGTATTCGAAACTCTGAATTAGGATATCTCCCAAATGAAAATCAACCATCTGATTCACTGACCTATAATTTTGGATGGTTGTAATTTAGGTTAGTTGACTTCCACTCAAAGGGTTCTCCCTCTTTGAAATCAAACACAGCCAGATGACTTATCATTACCTTGGATTGAATGAAGTTGCCTTGGTGCAGAAAACAAAAGAAATCAAAGAGGAAGCTTTTGGCATTGCTGATGTTTCAATGGCTCAACCAATTGGTCCAGTGGTTCTTAGGTCAGAACAGATAGAATTGTTAAGGGGAATGGTCTTGGCCTCTTGGGTCTTGGTTCATTCACCCAGGCAGTCTGGTCTGTGTGCTGAAAGACCAGGTCTAGCAATTGATCAAGAAATCAAAATCAGATAAGACTAAATTGTGCATTAGCTCATTCAATAGATATGTAAACTTTGTTCATCCTGTCTCTGTAATACTATGGCTTCTTTAGCTGGACTCTTTATACAAACTATATTGATTATGTTTTTAATTTGGGTCTAGGAATGGCAAGAGGAATTTGGTGTTTACACTTGGCAAACAACTAGAAATTACAAATGGGACGCCACGTGGATGATCGATGAACTGTTTACACATTGGACACTGCATGGAAACATATGGGTGACTATTTCTATATGCAAGTTATTAGAATTGGATGGGTTAATCAAAATATAAATGTTTTAATTGTATTGTTTAATGTTCAAACATGGAGTTTACATGTGATGTGAAGGATAAATATATTAATCTACAATAATGTTAGCCTCTTTAGTTTAATGCTGCATTATTAGAATGATTCCTTTAGCTTAACACGAAAGACTGCATTAATTATATTAATAATCTCATATTAAACTATGATAAACATACTTCAATTTCTTTATGGGAGGACATTGGATGGTACTGTTGAAGAGATTGGATTAAACAACACTAACACTTGTTTTATCTTACTAATTATTCTCGATATATATGCATCATATGTTCAGAGTTAGATGATCCCTTCAACTCCAATATCTAACCAAATTGTTTTGGAGAGGATTTGGGTTTGAGAAGAGGACGGTTTAATCTTCTGGGATGGAAGTTGACCTCCATAAATAGGTATAGGGTACTCTTGAAGCTCTTAAACTGATCTTGACATAAGAATTGCAGACTTTAGCTCTTAGTCTAGCTTTGCCATTGAGACTTGTACCACCAACAGACTTGAAGGAGAAGAAAAGAGAAGCTACATTGATTTAGACATGCATATGTTTTCACTTGCCCGGTACACACAGACAACTAGGCTTGAACAAACAAGGGATCTCAACTACCCAAAACTTCAGCCAAAAGTATTAGAAGAAAGGAAAGACCAATCATTGATACAAGCAAATTATGAGTTGGAAAAAGTTGGCATAAGATATCATTTGATGTGATGTTCTAAATCTTCCAAAAGTTACGATTAGAAATAGAGGACAGAAGAACTTTTGGATCCTTGATTAATTTCCAAGTAGTAACTCTGTCTCTGCTACCAGAAGTCTACATTATTCATTTAAGATTCTTCTCTTCTCTTACATTGCCTCAAGAAAAAAAAAGAAGTTTTAAGGGAAAAAAGAAAAGAAAAATGAAAAGTTATCTACACATTGGTTTCTGAGGATGGTGAGATTGAGCTAGATCGGCCTCTGATGAGCAACTCTCTCCTCCAAATCCATGTTCATTAATGAAGAAAACTTCCTTCTTATCCTGCACCACCTTCAAGATCTTCTCAAAGACGGAGACTTCGCAGGGAATCCTCAATACTCCTTCCTGTTGGAATCCAAATTCCTCTTCTGCTTCTCTCAGTAAGATCCCAAAAGCTCTATGACTCAAATACTCTGTTGGGATTATGAATCTCTTCATCTCCTCTCCTACGCAAACAGCAAGGAATCCTTTTGGAACGGTGTCACCTGAGAGTGTTGAGAGTGAGCTCTCGGAGAAAGAGAGCGTCTTCTTCAGAAATTTGATGCTCTTGCTGCCACTGCCGTTGGTGCTGGATGTGGTGTTGCAGCTGTTGCTCTTGCTGCTATTCTTTGGTGCATTTGCTAGCTTCTTCCACTTCTTGAGGAGCTGTTGAAGCCTAACTATATCACTGATCTTGTTGGACTTCTTGGAATCCATGGAAAATTTGGAAGACTGAGTGTTAGCTTTTAGTTTTTCCCTTGTTCGATGGCTAGTAGTAGTAGGTGGTTTGGAGATTTATAGAAGTTGGGATGCTTGAGGTTCTGAACTTTGATTGTTATATTATATTTCTGTAATATTTTATGCCGTTTAATATATTTACGTCGGTTGCTTTTTTAACTGCCTTAAGAATCAAAACCCATGATGAGTTTTCATTTTTTTTGTCTCTATTCCCTAGATGAGTAGTTTCCAGATTTATCTTTTGAAGTTGGGCCACTCTTGGTTTCTGTCTTTCTGTTACTACCTTAATCTCTCTCGGTAAGCCCTTTCCATTTGCCTATATGCCGGGATTCCCTAACTACTTCAATGCTCAAATCTTGTCAAGGGTTGGCGCAATTAAATTATAGGTGACTAGCAGTAGTGATATTTCATAAAATCTTTTCAAGGGTTTGGGCCACTTTTTCTGTTACCATCTTTGTATCTTCATTTTTGTGTCTCTAAGCTAACCTATTCACCTTGTCTTATTCATTGCTTTGGTTTCCGATCCAACTGTCTCAACAGTCAAAGTCCATAGGGGATCTGGTTCTCTGAATAATTTAGTTCTCAGCTTTGTCTTGGTATCTGCATTTTGATTGCTATATAATGTTATTAATTGCCTTATTTTTTTAATCACCCTTTTGAGTATTCTGTGATTCTGTCTGGTTATTGAATTTTGGGTGCTTAGAAGATCGTGGAAGGTGGGCAACCAATAGGTTTCCATGTGAAATGCCCATTGTATTGGGTTATAGAAATTACACATTCCCATTTCCGTACACTAAATCACTTAAATGCCCTTTTGTTTTAATTAATCCTTTGTTTCCATTCATTCTCTCTATTTCTATGTTTTCATGGTTTCTTGGTTTTTAGTACTCTTTATTAGGATTTTGTTTGTTTTTATTTAACAAATTAATAATCAGGTTACACATCCATTTTCTTTTTATTTGCTCTCCATCTTGCTTACTTTTTCTAGTATTGAGTCATTGACAGATACAAAATTTACATTTTGGGAGCATTTACTGAAGAAGAGAAATTATTAAAAAAATGTAAATTGGCTCTCAATAGGAAAAACTCAAAAAAAAAAAAAACAAAATAATAAAACGTTTTCTGGTTCCATAAAGGTAAAGGGAAAAAGAACAGCATTTGTTACTTTGTAACTTCACTTCTTTTACATATTTGCCTTTAAATTATAATTATAACTTAATAATGCTGCTGATTAATATATTAAACTAATAAAAATAAGGAGATTTGACTCAGTTCAGATCATTATGTGATGATTGATGGTAGGTTTAACTGCAATTAGAGCACAATTAATGCTCTACTGCATTGAGATATTGAAAATAACATTGAAATATGATACGTCAATGACTACTCTTCAGAGTTTCAGTCAAGGTTCAGTGCATTGCAACAGTAATTATTAGGATGCAAGAGATAAAAAAAAGGAAAATCCTTGAAAAGATGGGTTATTGAATTAATATTTATTGTTTTTACAAATTTAATTTTCCTTTGGCAAAACTGGGGGTCAAATAACGTGGGCTAGCTAAAATCTGATGGTACTTAGACACCTTAATTATTCTCTAACAGTTCTGAACATAAGAGAAAATGATGGAAGCTCAGTGGGATCAAGTTCTTTGAATTGAAAGAACAACAATTACTCAAATCATCACCTTCATCCCCATGAATATATTTAATCCCCAGAGCTAAATGTGCCAAGGAAACACAAACTTTTGGTGTTTTTGGTCATTTTCAGCAAAATTTCAGTGCTTCCTTGAAAACCTTGGGTGGAAATGTTTGAATAGAAAACAGAGATTTATCAAATGAAGAAATAAAATGTGAATCACTTGGCCAACTTGCATTAAAGAATAAGCAATAATGTGAACTCAATACTTGGTCAAGGGTCAAGTAGTAAAGACATTCGTACAATTTTGATATAAAGTTTCCTAAACTGAGGTTAAGTTTCAGATTAAATTATTCATTATCAGATGCAGAGAGAAGGGACTGATCTGTTATTAATTTTGGACGGTTTGATGATTGCAAAAGTCATGTGATGTCCTCAGCGTTGGGTAAGGACAGAGGGAAGCAAGTTTTATTTATGGTTTTAGAAAGCGTTTACCAGACTTATTCACTTCTTCTGTGTCACATGACACCATTCACTTCTCCGTTTGCTCACATGACATTATGACACTAAAACTGTTGAAGTTCAGAGACCAAAAAAAGAATTAAAAAGATTCTCTCTCTCTCTCTCACAGAAGCTGAAACATTGTAAAACGGGATACATTATATGAATTTGGTCCCGTCACACTCTCTCATACAAGGGTTGACAATAGGTTTTAATCCAAGCTTCTTGTTTATATTTGACGTCTATTTAACTCTGTCATGAACTTAAGAAAGATAGTTTCTATTTGGTGTCAGTCAAAATCCAAAACTCTGTCACTTTCATTTTGACTTGTTGAGGCTGGGCTGGGCTACAGCCAAGTAATTTTCCATTGCTGGGTCAACATTGGAACTATTAGCCTGAGCCCAAGCAGGATAGACCTCCACTAGTATAATAATACGGATGTGTAATTGACTTTAGTGCCATTAAGTAGCAATTGTGGTTGGCCCAATCAAGCCCATTAGGCGCCCCTACCGAAACTTGAAAACTTTCACGTTGATGAATCAAAGCAAATACCAACTAGATTAATACTTGCATACTTAAATAGCTGATATTGTGTATAGGCACGCTTGTGTGTGATGTATGTAGAGCTAACAAAAGCAGGATTCGTTGGATTGAGGGCCAATTCAGTTCAGTCCAAAGAACTTAATACAACAGCCATAGCACTTCCTATACAATTTTAGCAGTTGATCTACTCTTGGTTTATTAGGGTTGGCAGTGAATCACAGATTCACTTGCCTGCCATCCTGATCCCACTGGTCCCACCCCTTTCCCCAGCATGTGGCTTAAAAGAGGGGAGAAAAGAAAACTCATTATTTTATAGAAAGATGTAGTATTATAGGGGCAAATTTCTTGGAGCCCAAGCCCACTAGGAGCTTAAGAACATGACAGCCCAACTTCATTTGAAGGCTGAGTTAAGTCAGGTGGGTCTGATTCATCTTATCTAGCTTTCTAAACTGTGTGGGTAATTAAAGAACTTACTCTCATCAAAGATCAAACGATGAGATCATAAGATATCATACCGCCTTACCAATTTAGGCCATTCACTTGGTGGGTCATCGTAGCGATGATTTTATAAATGGGTGCAAGTTTGATAGTTGATAACACTTATAATTGAGCAAAACTTTTATTTATTTGTTTGGATCAAAAACAATTTGCTGCAACTTACAATGGCTAGCTGCCAAGTTGCAGTTCCCTTATCACTGATACCTGTTGTTTATTTGTTTTCAAATAGCGAATTATTTTCAATTTGATATTAAGAATGACTTTTCCTGCTTTGGATCTCTGTGAAATAACTTAATCTAAATTTTTGGTCGAATCTATAGCCAATAGTGTGAATTCTGCTTATGGGTTATCACCATAAAAAACCCAGGTTATAGTCATATATTTTTTAGTTTCAATCGTGATCATGTCTGGGAGACCAAGGAAAATCTATCAAAACGTAAGCCAAAATCTGCTACAAGATCTATCTATCTATCTATAACTCTACTGGTGTGAGTTTGTCTTTTATCGCCAGTCCCAAGCCCACATAAAAGAAGATCGAGTTGTGTTAGGTTGGCAGCCAATACATATGCTTTTGTCAAACTCTCATTATCATCAATCTATCTATCTACTTATCTATATTTTATTTGTATGTAATGATGAGGAAAACTATATTAAAATCTCAATGCAGGCAGAAGGGAAATTTACAAAGAAACAGTTGGTAGAATGGATCCCCATCTTTCTCCAGCTTCCATAATTTTTTTTTTCATTAATTAATCAGAGTGATGGACCACTACCAATCATGCATATAATTTGATCTGCGTTTACAACTTCGATGGCCATGAAATTCTAGGTCATCCAATAGAAAGAGTCCACGTGGAAGGATCACATTGCATGTCCTCACAAATTGGGTTATCCTGGCCGCCTGATCAACATGATTTATTAACAGAACAACTCGAGAGAGATTCATGCAAGTATGCAACATGCATGCATTATGAACCAGAAGAGCAGCAATCTTAATTCTTAATTGTTTTAGGCTTGAATAAGAATTAAGAACTACTGTGTCAATTTTCTCGTGGTTTTTGAAAGGGAGGATTCTTTGGGACCAAGGAAGTGATTGAATGGAGTCAACTTTATGAATACTCATATTTGTTTTTTCAGAAAAAAGAAACTGTTTGAATATTCAAAAGCAAATCATAAGCTAGAAGAGTTCACTCAACTGTAACTTCCACTAATTAATGAAATTAAGAGAAGAATCTCTCTGAGACCTAAAAACGAACAAACCCATTTCTTAGCCGAAGCTAGATAATTGATTTTATATTTTATTTTCATGTGGGTCGGATGAAGATGAGATATGATGACGGCAGCGATGATGGTGATGGGTCGTTAGAATTAAGAAATCAAATATAACAATTCTAAAATCTAAATATCAAACAGTGAGGTTGATTCTGATGAGGTTGAAGGTCATGGTTCAGTACTGGTCCATGTGGTGACTTAGCTAGCTGGAAATTTTAGGCATAAAGTATGTGAAAGATTGGACCGACAGAAGGATGCCTAGTTTGTGGAAGGCATAGAGTAGAAGACTGCAAGTTGAACAGAAGGAAAAAAAAAAAAAAAATACAAGGGTTCCGGTGGGTGAAGGATGAAATTAACGAGTTGCATTATTGAAGCATGGTCAGAAAAATATATTTATATATAGTCAAAGTATGATATAGAAAAACTTTTGTACACAATGGAAAATATGATAAAAAAATTCAGTTATTTATATGTGGTATGGTAAATGCATGTAGGTATATATATCTGTTTGAATCATTATTAAGCCTTTCCTCTAAATTTATATATAAAAAAAGAAAAGGATAAGTGAAGACAATATATGGTTTGAACCAAATGGCCTGGCTTCTTTGTGATTAGTCATATCATCTCTAGATGGGGCTCGCATTTCCTGCGACTTGGTTACCCCATCG